CCAATTAACTGACTTTTGAATTCACCACAAACCTTTTCACAGGTAATCTATGTAGCAAGAAATCCTAAAGACAATGCTGTGTCGATGTATCACTTCGTATTGCCAGTTATGAAGTCGGTTGGCGTGGATTTCCCTTGGGAAGCATTTCTTGAAATGTACAGCTTAGGCAAACGTAAGTTGTCTTTGATGATATTTCCAAGGCTGTTTTATTCAAGATTTATACTTTTAACAAGCATTTATATCACTTATTTATGTCACTTTTTAAAATTCTTCTTAATTATATCGATTATTGTTAGAGCCATTTGGATCGTGGGCTTCGCACGTTGTGCCGTTCTGGGAACATCGGAATGATTCCAATTTCTTATTTCTGAAGTACGAAGATATGAAAGCGGTAAGATGTTGATATCCTAAATAAATGATAACATAATTGTAGGCCTGTATACGTAACTAAAACAAAAGCTTATGGTGGCATTCAAATATAAACTATACCGGTAGTTATTTAGAATTGCAACAGACTTTTTTAGTGTCAGTCAAATTTCACAATTGACCAATCAGAAAAGGACCAGGAATATGCGCGTGTCCAACGTTTTGTGGGACCTTAGCAACAATATCAAAGGGGTGGTGCGCATTATTTTTTCCCCATCATAGAGATATTCTTATTATATCTCTATGTTCCCATACAGTTAAAGCCCTATTCCCGGCAAAATTTCAGTTTTTAAGAAAAATCTAATTTTTGTATAATGTTATAAAGATTTAAAAATATAATATGGAATTGCTAGTTTAACTGAATTTAGACATTCCTAAGAATGAAAAAAATGTAAAATAAGACTGAAATTTGATTTTGTTGTGTTCCACACAAAAAATAAATGCGGATGAATTTTTCATTTTGATTTTGCGATAGGTCGTGAGAAGAAATATCGTAGGCGCCGAAAACATTAGCCTATCCAGCGCTGCTAGGCTAGGCCTAGCCTTACCTCGATTTAGGTTCTGTTATCACACATAAAAACGGCCGACATGATATTTTCCGTTGCTAGTATTGACACTTGTGAAATATAATATTTCATAGGAATTATTTCAAATTTTGACACTTAAACAAACATATCTCAGCCTTAATCGAACGACCGCATTGTGCGAGATACGAAGTACAAAAACTTGAAGAAAATGGTAATATTTTATGAGAAATAGTCTGTATTTCTCATTTTTTTTATTCTTTTGCGTAAACTAAAATTCATGCCAATATTTTTCCATGATTTGTAATAATTGGAGTAATGCAAATGAATATTTTCTAAAAAAAGTCAGTTTTTAGTGAAATTTTGCCGGGAATGGGGCTTTAAGGCAGAAATTATAGAGAGCACTATTTTAGGTCAATTAGGTGAACTGATACACATGAATATGCATACTGACCTCCCCCTCGCGAAACAGAGTTCAGTGGTGTATCGAGTAAGCTGTCAGTGCTTATGCGTGGGTGAAAGCTACGATGTGGGCCAAAATCTCTTAAATAGGCCTTGGCAGTCAAGACAATGTGAAAATTAATGGATTATAATTGTAATAAAATCATGACTATGTACAGCATTGTCTTTGAAATTAGAAAAAAAAAAGCACAGTAATATTGAATCTGGCTATTTGAGTACAGTGTAGTTATAGGTCTAGATATTGTTGGTAGCAATTGTCCCCTAGTAAGTACTGATTCTGAAGGATATAAACGTATAGAAATTTCCGGGATATGATACAAATACGCGGAGTACTTCGGACAAATTTTAGAATTAAAAATGTTTATGAGAAAAAAAACACCAAAGTCAGTTATTCTTTTGCATGACTCATTGGCTGGTAAAATTAAGGATTTTTTGTAGAACCATCTGTAAATCAATGAAAACTATTTTTGACATTTGTTTTTAATCGTTTGAAATGATCTATTTAATGTTTTAATTGGTTAGACAGCCTTAATAAACAGTACGTCATAGTCAGTATAGAATATCGTCATTTTTGGTAAAATTAATGTTTATAATATGCTTGCTATATAAATCTAGGCCTTTTACTTTTATTCATATTGCATATGAACGAGATATTTAATTATTTATTTAATTATTTATTTGGATATACACCTTCAGGTCGGTAGAACACGTTTACAGTGAACGGTGCATCCTTATAATCAACAATACAAACAAAAGTAAGAGAACAAAGAGCTCAGAAGTCTAGCTACAGACAATCAAACTAAAACAAAGAAGCACATTAAGTTAGTTTTTAATTTGACACCTAGTCTACAAAACGTTAGTTTACATAAAGAACGGTAAAATGAACGGATTAATGAAAAAATATTTGTGAACAATCAACATTAAAAAATACATTTGTCCGAGCATTCTTAAACGTTTATCAGAATCAGTAGTATATAGCAGATAGTATGTAGGCCTATGCTGTATCTTTACACTACTACTCAAATAGCCGACCACATTCAACGTACTGCTTTTTAAGCTGGTTTTACTAGCGAATTTATTCGCGCGAATCAAATCGTCGGTTCGCTTCCTGAACTCTGATTGGATGCGCATTTTTTCGCTTCGCAAAAGCTCCGATAGGAATGTAAATGCGCATGCGCATGACCGACGCTTTCAATTCGCGCGAATAAATTCGCCTAATGGAAAACCAGCTTTATACTTTAAAAGACCATCACATAAAAAGTGTCTAGGAATAGGGATATTACTTTTACAAAATTTCATTAATTTTCACTGTCGACCACACTTGACCGACTACCAAAGATTTTGGCCTACCCTAACCCTATATTCCGTAGCTTTCATATTATTTCCTCCACAAGCAGCGACCACTGATTCGCGACTTGTGAGGGAGAAATCAGGCATGATTGTTCATGATCAGTTCACGTAAATTACCTTAGATAGCGCCCTATATCTTAACTGTAAGGGGAAAAATAATGCGGGCGGGGTTTAGCGGAAAGGTCCATTAGGCATAATGGAACTTTCCCATAAGCTCCGCACTTTGAATACTGTTTCTAAGGTTCCACGAAACAATAACTAAAATCAAAGATACTAGAAATACAGAAATACAAGATAGAGCACTCGCATAGCAAAAATAAAGCGGAAATTGGTCCAGACGTACGCGGCGTCCTTCTCTTTTGTAATGCAAGTTTTCTATACTTGGTCCAGACGTATAGGGCGCCCTTTAGTTGCTAAAAGCTGGCTAAAAGGTTGCTAGTAAAAGCTAATATATCCAGACGCACACGGCGCCCTTCTTTTTCTTAATGGAGGAAAACGTTTTCAGTAATCAGAGTCCGATCATAGGATTCTGCGCTTTTGTGTCTGTCATTTTATTGTTTTGATTTATTTAATACCTACTTGTTATATCTTATATGGATAATGGCAACGATTTCTACCTCTGCATGCAAAAGGAGATTATGTATTCACAGTTGTGTAACGCTGGCATAAGTTTTTTGTTTGTATTCCCACATTGCATTTCGGTGGAACAGTTTTTTTCTGTGTAGAACTCTATCTTGTGTTTCTAATATGCTTAAATATAGGGAACGCACGCGTATTCCTGGCCCTGTTATGGTTGGTCAGTTAAGTTCATTGGCACTCCTCTAAGATGGCCCACTTTTGAATATAATGGTCAATTAAATCCGCTCCATAACTTTCTGGATATGTTTTTGGATTAACTAAATTTACGAAAATAATGTGTTGAATTGCTTCTTTTTTTTAAAATAATGGTGCTTTTCGAAGTGTCAATCAAACTTAACATTTGACCAATCAGAACAGTGGCAGGAATACGCGCGTGTCTAACAAACACGTGCTGTCCCCATGGCTGTCCCACAAACGCACCTTTTATGTTTACGCGTACATTTTACGCTATTGTTTTAACAACAATATCCAAGGGGTGGGGTTTAGCGGAAAGGTCCATTATAAGCAGTTTATAGTTTATGCAGGGGTTTTTCCAAAATTATTTTTAGGATCACACTGAAGCAGTGCGAAAAATTGCCACCCACCTTGGCTATTCAACTTCCGAAGATGTAATCAGAAAAACAGTCGAAAACTCAACTGCTGAACGAACTAAAGATGCATTAAAGCTAATACCGGAGCCCGACCTACCTGCCATTTTAGGAGTTGGAGATTTTGTTCGAAAAGGTACCCATGATAGCACATTTGTTTACAATATTGAGTTTCACGGTATAATTCAAATGATTTAATTTTGGGTAAGCATATGCTAATATGAATAAGAATGTTTGGCATTAATATAGCAATAATAATGATATAATAGTAGTAATAATGATAATTGTAATATTAATACTTAATAATAATAATAGTAATAGGTCCTATACATAGGACTATATATATATTATATATAGACCTTATACATATTATATATACATATATAGATATGAGATAAACTCTATATCGTCTTGTGGTAATGCTTTACACATATATTTTAAACGTAAAGAAAAGGAATCTGCGAGTGTAAAAAATTCGATTGGAGGCAATTCATTTCGCACTCTGTTTGCCATTAAAACACTAGTATTCGATTCACACATGTTAACAATTGATACGCCCTCTTCTTAAGAATTTTAAACGACAAGACGAGATCTCCGAAGAGATACTTAATTAGGCCTATAAAAAATGTTACACGTGAAGAGATAAATTCTAAATCGTCTTGCAGTAATGCTGTTTTAAGCCGTGTACGATGATAACAAAATATTAACAAAAGTCAAATCAAGATCTAGGCTTATACTAAAAATAAACGACACTTGGTTAAGGGGCCCTGTTCTGGGCCAACGACGTGGTATTTGTTGACAACGAACGTCAACTGATTTAAATGCTCGAGTTTGCTGCCAAATTTGCGGGTGCTGACACAAAGGCATATGTTCAAATGAATAAATAGATAAAACTACATTACAGTTGTTATAATAATTAAAGGTTTATGAGTACAAAATCAAGAAACATACAAATTCGAATATGCGCTAACTCTACCTTTATTTACAGCTTCAAATTATAAACATATCACAATATCCGGTTTACTGCTAACAGAAAATATTGAGCTACCACAGCGTATACAAATAAGCGTAAGCATGCAAGTATTTAAGCGTAGGTATAATAGGGACCGAACATATCGTTTCGACACACACGAAAATTATCAAGTGAATGAGTGTCTTTTGTAAATCTAGATGCTTGTATTAAAATGTTATTTCTACCCGAGTGATACTTAGTGCGAGTTGCGAAATACCAATTATCTGATATCATTATACGTCACCTTATTCTAAAAATGCAACCTTTGCATCAATCTAAAAAAATGTCTGTCTATAGTTTAATTAATTATTAATGGTCGCCAAAATAACGGCACCATCATTACAATGTTAAACCTTATATATTTCTTGGGGGCTTTCTTTCATGCAATTTTTTTCAATTTGGCTGGTGTAATTCCTATCAAAATTATTTGCCCCCAATTTAATATATAACAGGGTTCTAATGGTTCATAGTAAATGAAAACATCCCCCCTGGGCCTCTACTCGGGTCCATCGGGAATTCCCATGATTCGCCAGCAAGACATTGCATGAGTGACCCCCAAGAATCCATGGAAACAGTAGTTAATTAAGGTATTTGTTTTAATTGTATATAGCTTTTATAAAGGAGCGTTACAAGAATTCGTTATAATAAATTACAACGATCTAGAAATTTAGTGTGTTGTGTATAAAATACACACATAATAGTGTAAGATTAAAATAAAATGACTTTAATTCGGTAGTTTGCTTTTACAGGTGTTGTCGGCGATTGGAAATCCCATTTTACTGTAGCTCAGAATGAGGCTTTTGATGCTGCTATCAAGAAAGATCTAGACGGCACTGGATTAACAATGGACTATTAATCCATTATCATCATCGCGATTATTATAGCCAAGCATAACATAATAAAAATAATAGGCCTTTTTCACGCTGCGGTAGACATCTTCGATCGATGACAAACAGGGCTGAGCAGCGAAGTGTAACCAATAGAAATAACATATTGAAGGTGCGTCAAGAACTATCAATAAGAGGGAAAAAACAAAGCAAACAGAGAATAGCGGCCTACTTAAAAAACTAAAATTAAAACACAGTTCAAATCAAAAGTATAGTAAACATAGTATATGTTTAGCCCGATAAAATGACCTACAGTGTCATCTTTAACTAAAAACTTATTGCTGAAAGTACGTCTGTCTAAACACTTATGTAATGCACATGAGTATAAAAAGGTAAAACACATACAGTATACTGTGTACACATCTTGTGTTGGGCTCTCATCCAATGGTGTCTTCTTGGCACCCCTCTGGTCATTCTATGATTTGTTGTTTTGATATGTTGTGCCGAATATGTAATAAATAAAAAAATAAATAATTTTTCTGAGATGTTAACACGATGGGCCTTCTTTTTTGAAAAAAATGTTTGTTTCATAGTACTATATCAAACCCAAGCACTTTGTAGACGTACGGTACTGCGAGTAGGCTATAACAGAATAGAACAATCTCCTTTAGATACATGGCATTACGAGGGAATAGAGCTACCAATACTTGTCAACGAACAAACCCTCTTAAGTGAATTGAAAAACTTTAAAGTGCGCCATGACGATATATGGCTTTGTACGTATCCAAAAGCAGGTGAGGTGTATATACCGGTTTGTATATATATATATGTATATATATATATATATATAT